CTAAATGCTGTAAAGAGTTTTTATGAGGATAGTGAGGCTCAGGTTAGGGTGTGTAGAAGAGAGGGAGACTACTTCCCGGTAAAAGTAGGTCTTAGACAGGGATGTGTAATGTCACCATGGTTGTTTAATATATTTATAGATGGAGTTGTAAAAGAAGTAAATGCTAGGGTGTTCGGGAGAGGGGTGGGATTAAATTATGGGGAATCAAATTCATATTGGGAATTAACACAGTTACTTTTTGCTGATGATACTGTGCATATGGGAGATTCTAAAGAAAAATTGCAAAGGTTAGTGGATGAGTTTGGGAATGTGTGTAAAGGTAGAAAGTTGAAAGTGAACATAGAAAAGAGTAAGGTGATGAGGGTATCAAATGATTTAGATAAAGAAAAATTGGATATCAAATTGGGGAGGAGGAGTATGGAAGAAGTAAATGTTTTCAGATACATGTACTTGGGAGTTGACGTGTCGGCGGATGGATTTATGAAGGATGAGGTTTATCATAGAATTGATGAGGGAAAAATGGTGAGTGGTGCATTGAGGTATATGTGGAGTCAAAAAACGTTATCTATGGAGGCAAAGAAGGGAATGTATGAAAGTATAGTAGTACCAACACTCTTATATGGGCGTGAAGCTTGGGTGTTAAATGCAGCAGCGAGGAGACGGTTGGAGGCAGTGGAGATGTCCTGTCTAAGGGCAATGTGTGGTGTAAATATTATGCAGAAAATTCGGAGTGTGGAAATTAGGAAAAGGTGTGGCGTTAATAAAAGTATTAGTCAGAGGGCAGAAGAGGGGTTGTTGAGGTGGTTTGGTCATTTAGAGAGAATGGATCAAAGTAGAATGACATGGAAAGCATATAAATCTATAGGGACAGGAAGGCGAGGTAGGGGTCATCCTCGAAAGGGTTGGAGAGAGGGGGTAAAGGAGGTTTTGTGGGCAAGGGGCTTGGACTTCCAGCAAGCGTGCGTGAGCGTGTTAGATAGGAGTGAATGGAGACGAATGATACTTGGGACCTGACGATCTGTTGGAGTGTGAGCAGGGTAATATTTAGTGAAGGGATTCAGGGAAACCGGTTATTTTCATATAGCCGGACTTGAGTCCTGGAAATGGGAAGTACAATGCCTGCACTTTAAAGGAGGGGTTTGGGATATTGGCAGTTTGGAGGGATATGTTGTGTATCTTTATACGTATATGCTTCTAAACTGTTGTATTCTCAGCACCTCTGCAAAAACAGTGATTATGTGTGAGTGTGGTGAAAGTGTTGAATGATGATGAAAGCATTTTCTTTTTGGGGATTTTCTTTCTTTTTTGGGTCGCCCTGCCTCGGTGGGAGACGGCCAACTTGTTGAAAAAAAAAAAAAAAATAAATATATATATTATATATATAAGAGAAGAAGAAAAACTTTATAAAACTGGGATGCTTAAATGTGCGTGGATGTAGTGCGGATGACAAGAAACAGATGATTGCTGATGTTATGAATGAAAAGAAGTTGGATGTCCTGGCTCTAAGCGAAACAAAGCTGAAGGGGGTAGGAGAGTTTCAGTGGGGGGAAATAAATGGGATTAAATCTGGAGTATCTGAGAGAGTTAGAGCAAAGGAAGGGGTAGCATTAATGTTAAATGATCAGTTATGGAAGGAGAAAAGAGAATATGAATGTGTAAATTCAAGAATTATGTGGATTAAAGTAAAGGTTGGATGCGAGAAGTGGGTCATAATAAGCGTATATGCACCTGGAGAAGAGAGGAATGCAGAGGAGAGAGAGAGATTTTGGGAGATGTTAAGTGAATGTATAGGAGCCTTTGAACCAAGTGAGAGAGTAATTGTGGTAGGGGACCTGAATGCTAAAGTAGGAGAAACTTTTAGAGAGGGTGTGGTAGTAAGTTTGGGGTGCCAGGTGTAAATGATAATGGGAGCCCTTTGATTGAACTTTGTATAGAAAGGGGGTTTAGTTATAGGTAATACATATTTTAAGAAAAAGAGGATAAATAAGTATACACGATATGATGTAGGGCGAAATGACAGTAGTTTGTTGGATTATGTATTAGTAGATAAAAGACTGTTGAGTAGACTTCAGGATGTACATGTTTATCGAGGCCCACAGATATATCAGATCACTTCTAGTTGTAGCTACACTGAGAGTAAAAGGTAGATGGGATACAAGGAGAATAGAAGAAATCAGGGAAGAGAGAGGTGAAGGTTTATAAACTAAAAGAGGAGGCAGTTAGGGTAAGATATAAACAGCTATTGGAGGATAGATGGGCTAATGAGAGCATAGGCAATGGGGTCGAAGAGGAATGGGGTAGGTTTAAAAATGTAGTGTTAGAGTGTTCAGCAGAAGTTTGTGGTTACAGGAAAGTGGGTGCAGGAGGGAAGAGGAGCGATTGGTGGAATGATGATGTAAAGAGAGTAGTAAGGAGAAAAAGTTAGCATATGAGAAGTTTTTTACAAAGTAGAAGTGATGCAAGGAGGGAAGAGTATATGGAGAAAAAGAGAGAGGTTAAGAGAGTGGTGAAGCAATGTAAAAAGAGAGCAAATGAGAGAGTGGGTGAGCTGTTATCAACAAATTTTGTTGAAAATAAGAAAAAGTTTTGGAGTGAGATTAACAAGTTAAGGAAGCCTAGAGAACAAATGGATTTGTCAGTTAAAAATAGGAGAGGAGAGTTATTAAATGGAGAGTTAGAGGTATTGGGAAGATGGAGGGAATATTTTGAGGAATTGTTAAATGTTGATGAAGATAGGGAAGCTGTGATTTCGTGTATAGGGCAAGGAGGAATAACATCTTGTATGGAGTGAGGAAGAGCCAGTTGTTAGTGTGGGGGAAGTTCGTGAGGCAGTAGGTAAAATGAAAGGGGTAAGGCAGCCGGGATTGATGGGATAAAGATAGAAATGTTTAAAAGCAGGTGGGGATATAGTTTTGGAGTGGTTGGTGCAATTATTTAATAAATGTATGGAAGAGGGTAAGGTACCTAGGATTGGCAGAGAGCATGCATAGTTCCTTTGTATAAAGGCAAAGGGGATGAAAGAGAGTGCAAAAATTATAGGGGGATAAGTCTGTTGAGTGTACCTGGTAAAGTGTATGGTAGAGATTATAATTGAAAGAATTAAGAGTAAGACGGAGAATAGGATAGCAGATGAACAAGGAGGCTTTAGGAAAGGTAGGGGGTGTGTGGACCAGGTGTTTACAGTGAAACATATAAGTGAACAGTATTTAGATAAGGCTAAAGAGGTCTTTGTGGCATTTATGGATTTGGAAAAGGTGTATGACAGGGTGGATAGGGGGGCAATGTGGCAGATGTTGCAAGTGTATGGTGTAGGAGGTAGGTTACTGAAAGCAGTGAAGAGTTTTACGAGGATAGTGAGGCTCAAGTTAGAGTATGTAGAAAAGAGGGAAATTTTTTCCCAGTAAAAGTAGGCCTTAGACAAGGATGTGTGATGTCACCGTGGTTGTTTAATAATTTATAGATGGGGTTGTAAGAGAAGTAAATGCGAGGGTCTTGGCAAGAGGCGTGGAGTTAAAAGATAAAGAATCACACACAGGGTGGGAGTTGTCACAGCTGCTCTTTGCTGATGACACTGTGCTCTTGGGAGATTCTGAAGAGAAGCTGCAGAGATTGGTGGATGAATTTGGTAGGGTGTGCAAAAGAAGAAAATTAAAGGTGAATACAGGAAAGAGTAAGGTTATGAGGATAACAAAAAGATTAGGTGATGAAAGATTGAATATCAGATTGGGAGGGAGAGAGTATGGAGGAGGTGAACGTATTCAGATATTTGGGAGTGGACGTGTCAGCGGATGGGTCTATGAAAGATGAGGTGAATCATAGAATTGATGAGGGAAAAAGAGTGAGTGGTGCACTTAGGAGTCTGTGGAGACAGAGAACTTTGTCCTTGGAGGCAAAGAGGGGAATGTATGAGAGTATAGTTTTACCAACGCTCTTATATGGGTGTGAAGCATGGGTGATGAATGTTGCAGCGAGGAGAAGGCTGGGGGCAGTGGAGATGTCATGTCTGAGGGCAATGTGTGGTGTGAATATAATGCAGAGAATTCGTAGTTTGGAAGTTAGGAGGAGGTGCGGGATTACACAAACTGTTGTCCAGAGGGCTGAGGAGGGTTGTTGAGGTGGTTCGGACATGTAGAGAGAATGGAGCGAAACAGAATAACTTCAAGAGTGTATCAGTCTGTAGTGGAAGGAAGGCGGGGTAGGGTCGGCCTAGGAAGGGCTGGAGGGAGGGGTAAAGGAGGTTTTGTGTGCGAGGGGCTTGGACTTCCAGCAGGCATGCGTGAGCGTGTTTGATAGGAGTGAATGGAGACAAATGGTTTTTAATACTTGACGTGCTGTTGGAGTGTGAGCAAAGTAACATTTATGAAGGGATTCAGGGAAACCGGCAGGCCGGACTTGAGTCCTGGAGATGGGAAGTACAGTGCCTGCACTCTGAAGGAGGGGTGTTAATGTTGCAGTTTAAAAACTGTAGTGTAAAGCACCCTTCTGGCAAGACAGTGATGGAGTGAATGATGGTGAAAGTTTTTCTTTTCGGGCCACCCTGCCTTGGTGGGAATCGGCCAGTGTGATAAAATAAAAAAAAAAAAATATATATATATATATATATATATATATATATATTATAATATATATATATATATATGAATGTATGTATGTATGTATGTATGTATGTATGTATGTATGTTAATGTAAACTTATCTGGCATTTATATGCATTTATAAGTGGAAAAATTGGCGTTCTGCTTTCCGGCAATGTACGCTCTCTGGCGGTAGCCTGGAACTTAACCTGCCATATAAGTGGGGCCCTACTGTAACTCCCATAATCCCATTTTTTTTTTTTTTTTTCAAAACTTTAGACAAACTGTATTGCATTTAAAAAAATGTTTCACCTGAAAATGTGGCTGTCTTTATCGTTTAAATTTTTATCAGTAGGCCTATGATGATGCCAAATTGTTCAGGTCATCCTCTGATATTAACTTCTTATGTTCTGTTTTGCAGTTCATCTTCTGTTTTTGAGATGTTCACATGTTCTGGGAGAATAGTACACTGATGTTGAAGTTCCTACAAGTGCTGCAGATATCTAGTTTAATAAAAGTGGGACTTAAAGTGCACTACAGTGTCAGAAGTGCTACTTGTTAAGTGTTACTATCTACTACTCTCCAGATAAACTTCAAGCAGACTCTCAACCATCAAATGTAGGTACTTGTTAAGTTTAACTGTCTACTACATCTACTACAAGCATACTATTATCTAGTAGGTGTAGCTTCACTTCATACCTTGTAATGTCATTGTGAAATATTTTCACACACTAAAGTAACAATTTTATTTACTGGAAATATTCTACATGAATTAGCCACATGTAACATTTAAGTTATCTAGATTTGTTATAATATATTCATGTTAAAATATTTTGTTCTCATTTTAAGGATTAAATAAATGTTAAAAATATTTTAATAATACATTAGCATTTTAGAGCTCATTTTGGAACTTCTGGAACATAAACTGAAGTTACTTCTAGACAAAGTAAAGCAACAAGAAACATCTCATGTGTACTACCAGCTGTTAGAAATTAAACACAAGCAAGTTAGTCTACCCAGACTGACTAGGCTAGATAAGAGCCACTTTCACCTTTTACTCCAGCATGCAAGTGTAACAGCCGAATGTATATCAGCAAAATCAAATCATACTTATATAGAAGACTTCCCTTATGTGTCGTGTCTGTTAAAGCCAGCGTTTGTAAAGTGTGAGAGTTTGTGGAGCAGACACTTATTATATTGCACAATCGTATAAGTGTTCAATATTTCAAGTTATGTAGTCAAAATATTTAGTAAAAGCCATAGATAGTGTGGAATACTTAAGAGCTTGTGTAGGAGGGACTGTATCATTATAAAGTCTCTGAAAATTATTTGAAAAATGCAGATTACTACAGCACGTTACAGTGCTTCTTAATCAAAATTATTGCTATTGAAATTGACTTGTGGAGTGTAATTTATGAAATATAAATTTTTAAATTTTATTTATTGAGAATTATTTTTTTTACTTAAATGTGACTAACAGCAGGTCTGTCATCATTCACATTAACTTAGATTTCTGCATTTCACTCCTACTTTGGTTTATCTTCAGATTTGATGTTTTTTATTACATATTTATAAATACTGGAACATTGCTAAGCACATAGTATTCTGTCAGTTTTAGTTCAATTTTTTTTTTTTTTAATATTTCCAATTACTGTACCACTTGCTGCTATTATGTTCTTAAGTAATCATTTCTATTGTCCTGCTGCTCTGAAGTACCTCTTTTTCTGCATTTGATAGTGCTGAGAAATCCTCTTTACCAGTTCTCTGATATTCTCTTTTAGGTTTATTTGTGGAGATCATGTTTATCTTTTTCTCCTCTTGGCCAAAGATGGCATGTCCAACACTTTTTATTGTTTCTTAAAATAATTTCTTACCAGCAAGCTGGACTTCAGTCCTGAAGGTGGGAAGTACAGTGCCTGCACTCTGAAGGAGAGGTGTTATGTTGCAATTTTTTTTTTTAACTGTTGTGTAGGCACACCTCTGGCAAGACAGTGATGGAGTGAATGATGATGAAAGTGCTTCTTTTTTTTGGGTCACCCTGCCTTGGTGGGAAATGGCTGATGTGTTAAAAAAAAAAAGAATAAAAATTAAAATAATTTTTATGTTTTGAGACTCATATTTATAGCTCATCTTTTGGACTTTTTCTAAATTTACAAATTCTTATTTTTTATTTGAATGCTATACTATTACTTTATATTTAAATTTTGGTCTAGCTTATATTTAGGGGATCCTCCTTAAAATTTACTATACCTGGAGTATACCTGGAGAGGGTTTCAGAGGTCAATGCTTCACTGGCCTGGTCTGTGACCAGGCCTCATAGTTGATCAGGGCCTGTTCAACCAGGCTGTTACTGTTGGGCGCACGCAACCTAACGTGTGAACCACAGCCCGGCTGGTCAGGTACTGACTATAGGTGCCTGTCTAGTGCCTTCTTGAAGACAGCCAGTATACACTAGATGATTCCAAACTTCCATTCCAGACTCCTCACTCTCCTCCATTTCCATTAACTGTTTAAGGGATTTAAATCTGCAACATCCAAGTTGTCTTCTATAAACATTTGGGAGCTTCACATTTTGTTTCTCATGTTCCCTTCTTGGATTAAGTGATGCTCTCTTCATCTGACTTAGTTTACTCTTTATAAACTTGAACAAAAGATTTGGTTCCATGTCTCCTTTCTTTTTTCTCTCAATGAGCACTTCTCATCTATTCATAACTGAATGAACCTAATTAATTTAACACCTTTTAATAAATAAATATATAAAATAAACATGAGTGTTCACACAGAAACAAAAATAAATCAAGACTGTATAAAAAATTTTATAGAAAAATCACAACTTAACACTCAGTTTCATGTCCAAACAAGAGAAAAGCCATACAGGTGTTCAGAGTGTATGAAAGCCTTTTCAAAAAAGTCAAACCTAGATACACACTTGCGAGTTCATACTGGAGAGAAACCATACAGGTGTTCAGAATGTTTGAAAACTTTCTCGGTATGTTCCAGTTTAATAAAACACATGTGTGTTCATAAAATAGAAAAGCCATATCAGTGTTCAGAGTGTCTGAAGGCCTTTCCCAAAAAGATACAATTGAACACCCATTTGAAGGTTCATACAAAAGTGAAACCATATCAGTGCTCAGAATGTATAAAAACTTTTACAAAAAAGTCACATTTAAATATCCACTTTAGAGTTCATACAGGAGAGAAACCATATCAGTGTTCAGAGTGTTTGAAGGTCTTTTTTAGTAATTCACAACTAAGCACCCATTTGAAAACTCATACTGGAGAGAAACCGTTTCGTTGTTCTCAGTGCCTGAAAACTTTTTCAAAAAAATCATATCTAATTATCCACCTCAGAATTCATTCAGGAGAGAGACCGTATCAGTGTTCAGCATGTGAAAAGGCCTATCCCTGTAGAGCACAACTAAACTCCCATTTGAAAACTCATTCAGGAGAGAAACCATATCCTTGTTCTCAGTGTCTGAAAGCCTTTTCAAAAAAATCATATCTAAAAATTCACCTCAGAATTCATTCAGGAGAGAAACCTTATCAGTGTTCCGAGTGCTTAAGGACTTTTTTAACAAAATCCCATCTAAACATTCATTTAAAAGTTCATTCTCAAGAGAAACCATTAAAGTGTTCTGAGTGTCAAAAGGCTTTCTTAAGAAATGCAGATCTTAAAAACCACTTACGAGTTCATACACAAGAAAAACCATTTCATTGTTCAGAGTGTTCAAAAGCCTTTAAAGAAAAATCTGCATTGAGTAAACATTTCAAAATTCACACTGGAAAGAAACAATATAGGTGTTCAGAGTGTCTGAAAGGCTGTTCAAGAAAATCAGACTTAATAAAACACTTAAAAGTCCACACAGGAGAGAAACCATATCAGTGTTCAGTGTGTCTAAAATTTTTTTCAAATAATTCAAATTTGATAAGACACATGAGAATACTTCATGTGGGAGAGAAGCCACATCAATGTTCAGTGTGTCTTAAAGCATTTACCAGAAAAACTTATCTTAGTAACCACATGAGAGTTCACACAGGCGAGATATTACATCAGTGTTCTGTGTGACAATCCCTATTGTTCACATAATAAATTTGTCAGTCATCACTAATACCATACTGGAGGGGTTCAAGGAGGCCAGAGTTACTCCTATCTTCAAGAAAAATAGTAGGTCTGATGTCAGCAACTATAGGCCTGTTCCTCTTCAAGGGGGGGCTCTTTATCTGAGGAATTAGACCTTTCGGTCTCTTTCCTCAGACCAAGCCTAATTACCCCCAATCCCCCCATCCGTATCCTGTCCTCCCCATCCCTCCTTTTTCCCTTTCCTTCTCCTCCTCCTCCCCCATCCCTCCCCTATCCCCTTCTTATTCTCAGCCTATGGGATTCTTCCCACAGGCAGTGTAGTTCCTAGGTAGGGGGAAGGGTACAGGGGTCCATCCCATTACATTCAGGCACTTGGCAGTGGTGTAGTTTGCCATGGAATCTTGATCACCTGGAGATGTCCTGATCCTAACTGGTCTCCCAGGGGTTTGCTTTGAGTGTCAAATCCATGAAGCTTCTCCCTCTGGGCCCCTTCCTGACACCGTACCCTGTTCCGACCCTGCCTCGTTATTTGACCACTCTTTGGACATTTCTAATGCCCCTGTACTTCTTGCTGGTGCCGTATCGCCACCCGCTTCAGGTTCCGGGGTTACGACTGACTTCTTTGATACACTCTGACCTGCACTCTTCATTGACCATGTTTCCGGCTTCTGCCTCTGTGGTGCGGCAATTTTTAAATTGCCTGCCTGTCCCGCGTTGGACCAACTCCGGTCCCACACCTGAACACTCAGGGCTGTTATCTGATGATACTTCACTTCCTTCTCATTCTACTCAGAAAATACTGGCATGTCACACACTCCCCTTACACGCTGTTTCAAAATACACAGTGGACTATGTTTTTTACTCTACGACTGACTTCCTCTCCTGCCTATCTTTCCGACCACAGTATTGGCAAAGTGCTCCTACGCCATGTTGGTAGAAATATATCCTCTCATGCTCTCAAGAGTGGTATATGTTTCATCACTGTCCAGAATGCTAGCCAAGCTCATGCTCTTTCTCTCCTTTATTGTCCCATTGCTCTGACTTAAACTTTTCTTCTATCAGAGAAGAATCTTACAATGTGTGTTTTACATTTCTGGATGTGGAAGCAATACTCTCAGCTTGCCAATCATCGGCAGCTGGGCCTGACAGCATTCACGTTCATATGCCACAGCATTTACATCAGTCGGTCCTTGCGGTCCTCTTATGACTCTTTAATCTTATTTGGTCACAAGGAGTTCTTCCCCAGCTGTGGAAATCTGTCATTGCTGTGCTTTTCTGCAAACTGAGTACTATGGGACATGATGCCTCCACTATCGCCCCATTGCTCTTACCAGTGCAGTTTGCAAGGTGATGGAACTTCTTGTAAATAGACATTTGATGTGGTATTTAGAGACACACAACAGTCTCTCCACTAACAATATTGCTTTCACAAGGGCTGTTCTACCATTGACCCCCTTACTATGCTTGGGTACATATGTTTGTAATGCCTTTGCCAATAACTACTCAGTTATTGCCATCTTTTTTGACCTTGAGAAGTCATATGACACAACTTGGAGGAATAATATCTTGGTCCAGGCCCACTCCTTAGGCCTCCGAGGCAATGTTCGGGTTAATAATATGCTTTCCCCGGACTTTGTCCTAGCTGAAGGGGTCCCCCAGGGATGTGTTCTGAGCACAACACTTTTTTCTCCTTGCTATGAATGATCTAGCATCTATTCTTCCATCCAATATTGGTCATCACTTTGCTATTGCTTGTGCAGGTACAGACTGTCACCTCATTGCAGTTTCTCTCCATCATGCCAATTGGGTCACCACTCATGGGTTTAAATTTTCTAGTATTAAAACTCACCAAATTACTTTTACTAGACATTCTGTCGTCTGATCATCCATTGTACCTATACGGCTCGTTTATCCCAGAGCATTATACTGTCAGGTTTCTCGGCCTTCTGTTTGACTGTAGGTTATCCTGGAATCCTCGCATTACCTCTCTTAAGGCAACTTGTCATAGCCTGCTGAACTTCCTTAACCCTTTCAGGGTCCAAGGCCCAAATCTGGAGTCACGCACCAGTGTCCAAGAATTTTCAAAAAAAAAATTTGTTATTTTTTCTTATGAAATCGTAGAGAATTTTTTTGTGAAGGTAATAAAACAAAAAGTACGAAATTTGGTGGAAAATTGACGAAATTATGCTCTCGCGAATTTTGATGTGTCAGCGATATTTACGAATCGGCGATTTTGCCGACTTTGACTCCCATTTTAGGCCAATTACATTATTCCAATTAACCAAATTTCTTAGCTATTTCACTAGTATTACTTCTATTCTATCGATTGAACACAAGAAATCGCCAAGTCAACTGTTTCAACTACAAAATAAAGTGATCGGAAATTGTTAATTTGGCCAATTTAACACAAAGTTCAAAATATTCCAATTTCAAAATAGGGTCCAGAATGAACAATGTAGGCATTCCTGGCACTAAACTAACATTTCCTCTGTTCATTAGTTATGTTTTGAGGCTTACAAATAAATTCCATTTGATTTTTTATTCACATAATGAATTTTTTATTCACACCAAAAAATAGAAGATTTACTGTTATGCAATACTGTATAATTGTATAAATATCATCACTATATTTGTGAATGTATATTAGACCCACCAGCTGACGTGTATTAGACGTGGAGGTCGTTTGTTTACTCTTGAATATCGGCAAAAATTTAACATTCTGCTACTTTGAGCTCAGTTTCAAGCCATTTCCAGTGCTAAAACCAATCAAAATCATCTCTATTTCTGTAATATGTCTTCCATTCTATCAAATGAGACCAAGAAATCGCAAATACAACTATAAAAAACATACGAAAAAACACTGCAAAGTTGCTGTTTTAAATCGAAAAAAATCATGATTTTCATTTTTTTTCTCTCATTATACACAGTGTGCTGCAGGATCTGTTTTATGTGGTGCACACATACCACATAGATGTATTCTCTCATATCTAGGCCCAAATGTACCACTCACAGTTTATCAGAGTGAGCTGAGCTCATGGCGTAGATCTACGGTTTGGACCCTGAACGTAAAGCCGTAGATCTACGGGACGGACCCTGAAAGGGTTAAAACCCTCGTTCATCTTTCATGGGGGGCTAATCGTACAACTCTCCTTCAACTACATTCAGCCTTAATTTTAACTTGATTATGGCGACCAAATACACCTACCATCCGACTTACGACCGAGTTCGGTTCTGAGAAACCGGTCGTAAGTCGAAATGGACGTAAGTCGAACTTTACTATTGAATATCAACATCACATTTTTGTAATGACTTTATTTTATTGTTTTATTTTGGTATTTCATGTTTTACTTTACTTTTTATGCTGTTAGTACTGTATTTTATACTGTAAGGCTTAGGATAAACACTGTGTACAACACAAATAGTTGTTTATTTCCCAGAAATTTGGCCAAAAAAACACGGTCGTAAGTCGAGTGGTCGTAAGCCGAGCAGGTCGTAAGTCGGATGGTAGGTGTATATTCAATGGCCTCTTCTGCAACTCTCTCTAGTCTTAATTCCATCCATCACCAGGGATTAAGTTTATGCCTTAGTGCTTTTTGCTCTTCACCGGTTGAGAGCCTCTATGCAGAGGCGAATATTCCATCCTTGACTGATTGCCATGATGCTTATTGTCTTTGCTATTATGTTTGCTCTTATGACCTCCACAATCCTTCCATATATAGGACAGTCACTGATGTTATTAGACGTTCTTTATTTGTTCGTTGACCCTGTTTATTCCGTCCCTTTTCTCTTCGCCTACATTCGCTTGTCTTCTCTTCAGTTACCACCTTTCTATGTTCATGTAGCATCTCACTTTTCCCTACCCCCTTGGGAAGTTCCGATGGTTCGTGTCTGTTCATTCCCACTGCCATGTGTGAAAGCCCAACAGCCTACAGTGGCTTCTTGCTCTTTTTTTCTTAACCACTTCTGATCTCATTCTCATGCCATTGCAGTGTACACTGATGGTTCCAAGTCTTCTGATGGCATCAGATTTGCAGTGTTTCCAGGCAGCCTCGTGTGAGGGCATTTATACTCGGCTAGTATTTTAACGGCTGAATTGTATGCCATTCTCATAGCACTTACCTATATTGCATCTTTGCTTGTGTCACCATTTGTGGTCGTTTCAGACTCCCTTAGTGCTTTACAGGCTATAAGAAAATTTGATAAACCTCATCCCCTGCTTCTTCGTATCCAGCTTTGGTTACACCGTATTTCTAGCAAGCACAAAGATATTGGTTTTTGTTGGGTCCCCGGTCATGTTGACATAGAGGGCAATGAACAGGCAGACACTGCTGCACGATCAGCAGTACATGACCTCCCAGTGTCATATAGAGGTGTTCCATTCACAGACTATTTTGCTGTAATTGCTACCCACCTTTGCACCCGTTGGCAACAACATTGGTCTGATCTGCTACATAATAAATTATATTCTGTTAAATTGAGTATAGGTTTTTGGCCGTCTTCTTGTCATCAGTGTCGAGGTTGGGAGACTACTTTGTCCTGTCTTTGCATCGGCCACACTCATCTTACTGATGGGTATCTCATGGAGAGGTGCCCTGTCCCACTCTGTGAGAATTGTCAGGTTCCAGTTTCTGTTAGCCATATTCTGTTGGACTGCCCACTCTATCACTGAACATGCAGAATTTACCTCCAACATTGTCGCCGCTCTGATGCCCTTACTTTACCTTCCCTTCTTGCTGATGGACCCTCCTTTAGCCCTTTGACTGTCGCAGGCCCCTTTCTGAAACTGTCATTCTATGTCGCAAAATATTCGAAAAAAAAAAACTATTTTTTCTTATGAAAATGTTAAGATTATTTTTCTGTGTTTTAGTCCAAAAAAAAATTTTTTTGCCATTAGTACTTACCGAGATATAGAGCTGTGAAGTTTGCAGAAAATGAGCCGCATATGGCAACAGCGGCGACTGCCGCTCACCCGGTAAACTTTAGTTTACTTGTATTTGAAGGTTTTTTGTTTTTTTCACTATTTTATTTTTTCACATAACTTATGTGGCCTATGAGACCAAAGTAAGGTGCAATGTACATATATACACTCGTTGTATACAACACAATAAGCACACAAACATAATTATCAATATATTGTTTACAAAACTTGTTTTCAAAAACAAACAATACAAAAAATTGTTCATTACTATTGTTCTATAATACAGGTCCTCCATCACAAATCCGGCATCATTGGGACCTGTATTGTGCTGGATTACAGAGTTTGCCGGATTACAGAGTGGTTAGGTTAGAATACACTTAGAATGCACAAAGTTCATTGAACCTCGGCAAAAATCGAACATTTCCGCTACTTTGAGCTCAATTTCAAGGTACTCTTTGTCATGAAAGCAATCAAAATCATGTTTATTTCTGTAATATATCTTCCATTCTATCAAACGAGTCCAAAAAAATGAGAATACAACCATAAAAACCATACGATAATATATTGCAAAGAGGTGGCGAATGGCTGGGAAGTGAACTCCCTTATTTATCGTCCATTTTTTTTATTTTTGTTGTACGTTAAGAAGCATCTTTCTGTCATACATTGCCCAAGTTTCAATGAGATAGCCCAACAAACAACCGAGAAAAAAATATATTTACCAAAAATCATATATGGCAAGCCCAAGCCAGGTACTGGAAATAAGTCACTTTGTCTGACTTTTTTTGGGTTATCCCAGGTTCTCTATACATACACTGCTATGTATGATAATCTATGTAACTGTATTTGTGTATACCTGAATAAACTTATTTACTTCTAGTCTGTCAACTGAGTACAAGAAACCACCCATTCACTTATTTCATCTACCCAATAAAGTGGTCAGAAATTGGCAATTTGGCCGATTTCACACAAATTTCAACAGATACCAGTTTCAAAATAGGATCTAGAATAAACAATGCAGACATTCAAACTAGTATTTAGTCACTTAGCCATAATACCAACTTACCTCATAATTTTGTAATATTTTAAACTTAAGATTTAATTTAAGTCTGCCCGAAATGCCTAGCCATGCTAGGTGTTCTAGTGGTACACTCTGTAATTATTATTTTACTACATGTAAACCACACAATAACCAAATTCTGTAAACTCAGCATTGTAATCCTTGTAGAGAATAAACTTTGAATTCCTGGCACTAAAATAACATTTTCTCTCTTAATTAGTCACGGTTACAGGCCCCTCTTATATTACTCTTGCTAGCATTTGGAATTTTTATTCACAACAAAATAGAAGATTTACTGTTATGCAGACTGCTGCATTATTGTAATAATTGTATAAATAATGTCAACCCATTCTTGACTACGTATTGGAATTTGGACTGGCAGGCGGACATGTATTGGACGGTGACGTCATTTGTTTACTCTTGAGCTTCGCTAGAGAATAGAACATTTTCGCTACTGTGAGCGCAATTTCACGGTACTTTTCATCATGAAAGCAATCAAAATCATATCTATTTCTGTAATATATCTTTCATTCTATCAAATGAGACCGAAAAAATGAGAATATAACCATAAAAACCATACAAAAATATACCGCTAAGCGGCTGCTAATGGCTGAGAAGGGAACTCCGCTATTTATGGTCTGATTTCTTAAATTTTTGGTGCACATTAAGAAGTATCTTTCCATCATACATTTCCCAAGTTTCAATAAGATAACCCAACAAACAACTGAGAAAATAATAATAATAATATCTTTATTTACTACACATACATGTACAAGATATACAGGCCTAGCTGACATCAGTGACATACTACTATATAGAAAGCTGCTTGTTATGCAGAGTATTTCAAGAAAATTAGGTCAGTGTCCCAGGATAACACCCACACCAGTTGGCTAACACCCAGGTACCCATTTACTATTAGGTAAACATAGACAACAAGTGTAAAGAAACACACCTAATGTTTCTACCCTGGCTGGGAATCGAATATTTACCAAAAATCATATATGGATAACCCAAGCCAGGTACTAGAAATAAGCCACGTTGTCTGACTTTTTTGGGTTATCCTAGGTTCTCTACACATATGCTGCTATGTGTGATAATCTATATAGAGAAAATAACTTTTTTGTTTCAGGTTTATGGTGCAGTACGAGTGTATATCACAATTAGCCCTGTGCTACACTCCGTTTTCTCTAATATAAGCCTCCAAGACAGGGATAGGAGAATGGTATTTGTATATTATATCCTCTTCATACCTCCATCGAACTGCTCGGTGTTATGCCAAATATTATTTATTCTGGAGTATTTAACATGTTTTATGTTATTTATATTGTTTATTATGTCATATTAGATCAATTGTGATAGGC